ATGGCGATTTGAATGGAAGCTCTTCGTTAGGGTGGCCTAGTAGCTATGAATGACTGCATTCAGGCTCTGATGAGATTCTTGGTCATTCAGCGTCTCTTTCTACTTTTTTTTACCCCTTATGGATAAGAGTGTGATAATTATAATGATAGTAGCCATTGAGTAGAAATACGCTAGTTTCTTGTAAGCCCAAAATATTAAATTTGTGGCAGGGTTGGGGGGGTGGTGGTGTCACCCCTCAAAGGTGAGGTTGAAACTCCTTGTCTAATACTGAAAAATTCACAGTATCTGCTACTTGTGTGTTCTAGACTCAAAATATATTTGTAAGGTAATTCATAAATGTTACCTTTTTGTGCTCTAAACCAAGAACTTCTGAAAGTGACTGCTACGGAATACCCTTACCTTGTTGGGTAACTTTTGAGTATTTTGACTTCACTAAACTTTTTTGCACGTGTGCTTGTGGTGCATTGCTTGCTTCCGTCACACTCCTGATGTAACTATTTGCTTTTTTCCCCTTAGGTGGCCTACTTAATTCAACAAAATGTAATTCCTCCCTTTTGCAATTTGCTGACAGTAAAAGATGCGCAAGTTGTGCAAGTGGTTCTGGATGGACTAAGTAATATATTAAAAATGGCTGAAGATGAAGCGGAAACCATAGCCAATCTTATAGAAGAGTGTGGAGGTACGATGCTTCACATTTTGATACCCTTTTTTCAGAAATTGATGGTTTGGCTTCCTACCACGTGTACGTGCTGTTGGCTTTCCTGTGTGTTGGCACAGACGTTTTTAAAGCAAACCTTTTTTGAAAGTGACCTTTTCATGCCTATCAGGTGCATATACTGATTAAGTTCATGATCAAGTAAAATGTGGAGGAGCTGGATAATGGCAGTGAAGTTTATTAGGTGCCAATTTTCTAACAGTCTCCTGTACTTGACAAATTAGTTTCTGTTAATGTAGGGATGCTATGCTTGCCTTAATCATGTACAAGTCATGTCCAGGTGGATTTGGAGCGGGGAGGGGGGTTGAATCTATATACAACAGTTGCAGAAGTATGATAGCTTTAATTTACTAATGGCTTTCAGACTTTCTCTGTATTGGTTGCTATTTAAGTTGACTGAAACTCTTCAATGATGAAAGAACAGTGGTATTAAATTTGGGCACAGGTGAAAAACCGTGTGGGATTTTGTTAATGTGGAGTTGAATCGTCTTTAAAATACAAAATCTTGAGGGAGGGAGGAAGCTTATTTGATAGGTAATAGTGGGGGAGGGAGAAAAGCGGTGTTCATGCCTAAAGCTCTGCTTGTCAGAACTTAAAAAATATTTATTATGTATGCTCTACTCATGTCTGCCAGTAACTTAAACTGTACTGGAGCTACCTGCTGTATAATCAAACTACAGGTCAGTGTTTGATAGCGTGTGTGCCACCAGTCTGTGGATTTGGAATGTCACAGCTTGGGACAGCCACACCAGGTGCTGAAAAGATGTTTTTGTGAAAAGGGAGAATGTCCTAGTGCTTGGCCCTCCCCATATTTCCACAGATCAGCTTAACCACTCCTAGCAAGAAGAGGAGTACTATCATTGCTGGAATTGACCTTTTATACAATTTTTTTGGGTTTGTCATGGAATGTATTCCTCAATCTCTAATATATTTCCTCAAATCTCTAAGAAGCTTTTATGCTTTAAGAATGTCAGATGAGCTTAACAGCATCTTATTCATACTCACTCTATTCCTAGATTTGTTTTTAAGGACTCTGTATGATGAGGCCTTAAGGGGAGAGGAAGGTTATTTTGCCTGAACTTAGTATTTTAACTCTGTTACATTTCTTGTGTGTTTATTGTAGGCCTGGAGAAAATTGAACAGCTACAAAATCATGAAAATGAAGACATCTACAAACTGGCTTATGAGATCATTGATCAGTTCTTCTCTTCAGATGATGTAAGTGTGTAACAGCTCTGCAGTCTGCTTCTGTAATTGTTGGTTTATATTTATAAATACGGTTCGGGATAAAGGCAACAGCTCTAAAGCCTGCTCTGTGATGTTTGTTTGGTTTTTCGGTGAAGAATGAGCCCTTACTTGAACCTGTTGCATATCTAGCCATTCTTTGTGATGAAGTATCTGAAGATCTGATGCCTAACTTAAGCCTACTCTTTCGGGCTTAAAATACTGGGCTCTGAATAGTTCTCTTACCCGTCAGCTTCTGACTAAGCTTGACATCTCACATTTGATAAGGGCCCTGCTGACTTGAGTACCGATTCTGAGGTTCTGCTTCTTAAGCAGCAAACTATTTTGAGTATTCTAGTGATTTCAGAGGTAGGCTGTGCTGATCAAGAACGTTGGTTTCAGTTTAAATGTGTAACGTAAATCAAAGAAAGGTTTTAGATGTGTATGCACTTTAAATCATAAAAGTTAATTGCATATAAAGGAAGTGCAGTCATGTCAGTCTGTGTCATGAAGCGAAAGGGTTTTCTGCTTGCTCGAAGAACTTTCAGGAGCAGATTACTGCAAAAATGGTAGAGCTCAGTTGCATTCATGCCCTGCTGTCCGCACTGAAGTTTATTTTGTGCTAAATAACACATACTTATTTATGTGTTTCACTTTTATATGAACAATAAGACGTAAGTCTTGTTAAGCAACTGAAATCTTGCACATACGGCAGGACTTGGAATTTAATCTGGTGTCAATCTGGTTACCTGTATACTACCTATTTAAATCGAAACTGCAGTTTGGGCTTAATCCTTACTTGATTTAATGGTATTGGTCTTCTCTTAAGAACTGTGACAGTTGGCAATAAGGATGACGTGTGACTTGCAGAATGCTTTCCAGGAGTGACAGCTGCATAAACGAGAGGCTGCTGGGTGCCATGCAGCCTGCCTACTAAATCCACACTAAACCATTTTGGCCTAAATTACTTTGTCATTGTAGTGCTCTTACTAAACTGGGGGAGAAGAATGGCAAGGAAGTAGATGAGGTGGAGAGAGCAATGCTCTTCAGGATTGTCTGGCTCCTTTTTAGTGAGGCTTTTGTCTTTGCGTTCCTGCTCATGATGTTCTCGTTCTGTTGCAGATTGATGAAGATCCTAGCCTTGTTCCAGAAGCAATCCAAGGCGGAACATTTGGTTTCAATTCATCTGCCAATGTACCAGCAGAAGGGTTCCAGTTTTAGAGTGGTATTTTGGAAGTTAGGTACAATGCAGCACTGAATAAAAAAAAGGTTTGATCCATCAATCTTGGCTCATGGGATCCGCTGCTGCATTAAATCGGGAAAGAAAATGTGAAGATTTCATTTGGAATCACAGAAAAGCCCAAATGAAGTCAAGATGGCGAGTGGGTGCGAGTGAGAATGAGTGGCAAAATGTAACGAAAAACTTCACACTGAATGCTTATTTAGATTGTTCAAAGAAAAAGGGCTACAGGTCAAAGATCTTCAGTGCCTGAGAAGGAACAATGACTTACTAGAGCAATTGGGGGGAAATGCAGTACTATCATCATCAAGCCTTGTAAGCATAAGAGAATAGGATGCCCACATAAGTCCAAGGAGAATGAGCCCAGGCCTTGCTATGAAGCACCGTGTGAATGGACAACATTGAGTGAATGTCTGGACTCGATGCTGTGGAGCCAGGCTCGTGTCCCAAATACGGGGCTCTTCAGTCCTGAAGCAGGCTCCTAGTCCTGGCGTGGCGTGTGTACGAGAGTATGGTTGTGATGCTGTATGTGAACGCATGCAAGCTTGATTCGCCTTCAGGGGGCTGATAACAAACCTAGTAAATCATCAAAATGAGTTCATAAGTGTTAACTTACACTGGACACAAAAACAAAGACCGGTTTAGCAGCAGACTCTGGTTTACTCCTGCAGCCTGTGTTTCTTTTTTGTTTGTGGTTTTTTTTTTCCCCCCCTCTTATTTTTCTTTTAGTTCTTTTCAATTTCTTTCCTCTATGGCTTATTAGTTGTTTGTAAAGTCAGAATTTCAGGAAGGCTTCCCTGTGCATTTGCACCAGATGAATGTTTGATGTTATGAAAAGCTTTCCATATCATCAAAACTAATTTGTAGATTTTTGCATGAAGAAAATCATACATTTCCCTTCAAATAGACTGTGTTGCAGTACACAAGTTGCCATAATAGTAGAAAGCAGTAAAATGTGGTAATAAAATCTCATCCTTTTCATTTTCAAAGATAACATGAAGACCTTTGCATGTGGTAATCTACAGCATAGTTCATTTTTAGATTTCGTTGAGTCCTGTAACCAAATGTTTCCGTTGTGGTAGAATACCGTGCTGTGTTTCAATGTTACTTGTTTTCAAACTTTGTTTTCTATGAAAATGATATGGAAACTTCCAAAAATGAAATTTGGTGCATATGTACTGCCGAATAAAGACCGAAAAAGAGGTGTGAATAGATGTACAAATCAAGTCATGGTTTGAACACCTTTAATATGCCTAATCCGATTGTTTTAGACTCTTTTTATCTTAGATGTAGGCAGCCATGAACAATCTATTTTGAGCCACTTTAGAGAGAAAACTTTGTATTTTTAAAACTTGCACAAAAAGGATGCAAGTGTTTTTATAATTGGAGTAATACCTCAGTTTTGAGGTTCTGCACACTAAATTAAAGGTGACATTACAAATTTGTAGAAAATGAACTCTTTATAAGGTGGCTCATTGTAGGAAATGCTGTGCCTTCCCCTTTGAGCACAAGTGTTGCATGAACAACAGTTTGCTATAATAAAACATACCAGATTAGCCACCATTAGCATCTATATCTACCTTGTGTTTTAAAATCAACTGGTAATTCTGAAACACTGTAGAATGGATAAAGATTATTTTGTGATCATAACTCTCTTTGTTGGACTAGAGTATTTTTGCAGCATTCCTTGTCATCAGAAACATGGTTAAAGTTTAAAACTAGAAGCAGCGGAAACTAGCTTGTGAAATTTATCCAAGTAGAGTGCAGGCTAGGCTGTCTTGGGGAAATAAACATTAAAACTTGCAACAGCGTTGTATGCGGTGTGTCTTTGTGTATACGCTCCAGTTTTCATCGAGATGGGAAGATCATCGTTTGAAGAAGGTTACAGTGAGATTTCTGAATCTTGTCTTTTTTTACCTGCCAAATGTCAGTGTGTGGTGTGGTATGTTTTGTAGGCATGAGGTAAATAACTATTTTGGTATAAATATTTAGAAATATCCAGTTCACCTAATTACGTAGTATGTGTTCACTAAATAAATTAGGGCTGTTTTTCTGTAGAATGTAGGGAACCCTTAGAGGAGGTAAAATGCTTAAACTGCTGTTTTTAAAGGAAGCTGCAATGCCATAAGTAAAATTACACTTCACACTAAGGTATCTTTGTGAAGGATGTACTGTAGAAAAGTGCTTTATTGTTAGAATCCATTCTTAGGAAGCTGCAATGCCATAAGTAAAATTACACTTCACACTAAGATATCTTTGTGAAGGATGTACTGTAGAAAGGTGCTTTATTGTTAGAATCCATTCTTGTTAGGCATAAGAGGAGAACAGATGTTTGTAGCAACTTTCACGTTTTCAAAACAAGCAAAAAACCCCAAAACCAAAGCACTATGGCAAGGTCTGCATTTACTGGCAGTAAATGCCTCTGGCACTCCCCTGATGGGGTGTACTTACGGAGCATTACCTTAACCCGGGGCTGTTCTAGCTGCAGCCTCTGCTCTCTTATGCTGTCAGTGGTGGTGGTCTGTTGGTTTTGGTGGGTTTTTTTAAAGTGGAAAACTCTCTTCACTTGCTTCACAGCGGATCCTGTCACTATTCTGTTAGTTTGCCAAAATCTGGAAAGCTTAAACTTTTCAGCAGCCACGGGGTGGCAGCATTCGGAGCTCTTGAGGAGCAAAACTGAAGCCAGTTTATTCAATGCCTTTTTTTTTTTTTCCCCAAAAAAGTTGCAGTTTGAGGTAATGTAATGAATTATGTTGTTGGGGAAAAGGGAGTTGTTCGGGAGGCTTGGGATACAAACAAGAAATAACTTGGACTTACTTTAGGACTACTAATCAGATGATTAAAATGTCAAGAAGGCAGAGTTACTTACAGGTACAGCCTTGCATTGCTGTAATGGAAGTCACAGACCAATTTTCTGCCTCTGTGTGAAGATGAATAAATTTTAGCCTTTGACTTTATTGAGCAATGGAATTAGGTCATCAACAGAAGCAACTCAGATGCTTCCCTTTTAACACGGAAGCTGTGACATGGAGTGTACTTCCCAAGCTGGTAGCAGAACACTGCTCTGTGATATTTAGGTTGCCTGTAACCATGCAGATGGGAACTCTGGTCACTGTTCTTCAATTCTAACAAAAACCAAAGATGCGGGGGTGAGGTTGTACGTTAATCTACTCTTTCAGGCTTTTGAAGTAGATAATTGGCTTTTGAGCTGAACTTAGTGTAGCAGATACCTAGAAAAAAACCTTTAAAATATTAAAAGGGCAAAAGCTGATCCATGGTATAAGCTATCCCAGGTAGGATTTTTATTCCAAGGAGCAGCCTTGTTGGATCAAACTGGAATTTTAGGATCTCAGTGTTGGACTAGCTGATTTAGCTAGCAGGAGTAGTTCTGTGGAGGGAAGAAGAATACGCTGAATCGGAAGGGGTAGCTTGAGAGAAGCTGACCCTGTTTCTTTCTCTCCCACTACTGGAAGTAGAAAAGGCCCCGATGGTGTGAGGGCTTTCAGCACAGCAGAGCCATTTGCTGGAGGCATGGAGCCTTGAACAGAGGCGTACCTTTCGTCTGTCTGCACAGAACGGTGTCTTCCGGTGGACCGCAAGCATTCCCAGTAAGTTGTCTGCTTCTGCTGGTTTGGTGGTGGAACGGGCTAGTCTGTTAAAAAAATAATAATTTCTGGATAGTGTGTTCAGATACCAAGCAACTTAAAAGGCTTTCAAGTAAAATAGTAAGTAGTTTCAAGTAAAGTAAGTAAGGCAACTTAATCAGCCCCGAGCAAGGGAACCTGATGACTTCTGCGTAACCAGGGCTCTGCTCTTACACAATTTCAAAAGCCTAAGGAAAACAGTGGAAGTGCCGGGAAGAAAGCGGGGTGACTTTCTGCTTGAAACTGAAGAAATCTGTGTGTATTTGTTAACAGCTCCTCCTACCATACAGTGCGTTGCATAAATTACCAAGTTACTTTTGCTGCTTTATAATTAAGAATGTCTTCATATTAATGCTTGTAGACTCTTTGCCACTTTTAACTATAAATGTTTCCTCAACTCTGCGTGTCACCATTTTTTTTGCTGGTCACAAGGCTGGAAACAATTACAGAAGTCCTGCATCTGGATCAAATAGACTTTATGAAAGGAAACTTAGTAGCAGAAAACGTGTAAAGTTTACAAACTCTTCCTAATAGTAAGTTTTAGCTACTGCCAGATTAAAACTCAGAAGGCACACAAAATTAATGGAAAGAGTTAGTTACTTCAATACCTGCGGAAAAGTGACTGGAAACTTAATTTCCATGAAGAAATTCCCATTTTTTGCTTGTAAATCCCTTGAGGTGGGGGTCCTGTGTTTCTTCTGCTGGTTTTGGTGTGCTCCAAAGCTGAGAAGACTTTTCTTCAAGCTGTCATTAAAACTGTCATCCATAAAGGTATATTAAAGCTATTTAAATTTCTATAAAACACCACCGAAAGCTACTATTACTGGAAAACAACAAATGTGGGAAACTTTAAATGCCAGCTGTTGGTAAATGCGTTACAGAAGTTCTGTAATTTGATGGAAAGGCAGATGGGCAGTAGTCAGACCGTATCAGCAACACCAGATGATGGTATGAAGCAAGCTCGTCATTCCTAGAACGGCACTTTTTCAGATGAAATATTAATTCATCTTGAATTCTTGATTCTTTTTAAGTACATAAAAATAAACTGGGTATAAACCAGTATACAGTCTTACTCTGAACATCAGTTATTTATGTTGTAAATGATTGTCAAAAGCTCCCTTGTTCAGTCTTCTGCTTCTGTAGCTTTTTCTTTAAGACTTTCCTGGTGTGTTGAGGGGGGTAGTAGAGGGGAAAGGATTATAACAATTTTTTTTTAATTATTATTATTCTGTATTATGTAGTGCATGTACCCCAAAACCAAAACTACTCCCAGGCTGAGAGTCTATGCCATTTGGACTCTTTTGGGCACTGTGGTTTACTAGGAGGTCTTCTGTGTTGTTGCAGTGTACTTAGTATAGATCCCGGAGTAAAGCATCAATACGTTTCCCATCCGCCACTGCAAAAATTAGAGTATCGATGAGCTGGAGAAGTATCTTTAGAGAAACGTGAAACAGATTTAGACCTTTATGAGCTTGGGGTACGGGAGGGAGGGGAGTAGTTCGATACCATGGACAGCTACAGGCTCCTTGTGGTCTGAAAAATACAGTTCTCTCAAATATATTAAAATGAGAAGAAGAACTGATAACTATAGTAATTGGTTCGGCATCAAAATTAAAGCAAAAATCTGAGTGCTTGGTCAGCCTCGGAGTCTTTTCTTAAGCGGCTGTCCGTGCAACCGGTGAAGTGTCGTGCATGGCTATGATGGGTAAAACCCTTGCCTGAGCAATACTGTGACAGCAAACTCTTACTCTGTCCTACTGTGTTACTTCCTTTCTTACAAGCTTTCAATTTTTTTTCCCCCTTAACTGTATGCCCAGTTTACCTCTTTCTCATTTGAGCTGTTTGGAATCTGTCACAGATTCGGACTCCCCTACTCGCACTACACAGTTCATACTCATTTTTCTACTACCTTTGACAAGGTATTTATAATGAACCAGGAGTGTGCAGCCAGCAATTAGACTTTTGTGGTGGAACCAAAGCCTTAGTGTGCAGGTTGGTTGTATTGTGGACCTGAAGAAGGCTTTCCTCACCTAAAAAGTTGTATTTTCTCTAACTGTATCTTGTGTTCTAATAATATGTTCAGTTACAAACCTTGACCTGCTTACACATTTATTTTGGCTATGTGGTATTTTCATTTTTTAGTTGCTGCGAGTTTCTGTGTGTTTTGCCACACAATAGCTTTCTAAGCTTTCCAGAATTGTATAAATACAGAAATGCAGACTTTTTTTAATGGGATGAACCTCTGAAGTGTGTTCCAGATTACTTGATTTGTGCCGAGACACAAATGATGTCTATGTTGCTACATCTGGACTTGTGGGATACCTATTTTGCACTAGCTAAGCATCCTCAAAACATAGTTCTTGTTACTGTTGTCATATTTCACCTGACTTAAATTGCAGAAATATCTTTTAGCAGGCTCTTCCTGCACCATACCTACAAATGCAGTTAGAAGGGGGCTGTCTCTTAAGCTAACGTTTTCAGAACGGCTCTGGCGTTAGCGCGTTGCGGATTGTCCGTCTGCAGATGCAGAATTCTGCTAGAAGATACTTACTCCCAAAACTTCATTTGCAAAGATTTGCCACTGTGATGCAGTTAATGTAACGCTAACAAGGGAACATCCACGTGGTTGCAGCCTCTTCTACAAATTGGGCACAAGGGCAGAATAAGCTGGATGTGAAGATTTGTATATCTGGCTTAATACTACTTTTTCTTGTTCAAATAGTAAATAAAATTTGACATCTCTGTAATAGAAAGTGGATTACTGACCTGTCAGTGAATGCACTTTTTATGAAACGTGCTCTCATCGTCGTGACGTACCCCCAGCAGTGGCTTAGTAACGACCCCTCTGGTATAATGACGTGTTACGTGGCGTAATCCTCCAGCCAGTGGATCCGTTCTCTGAAAAACAAGTTATTTTCTGGGTTAGTTTTCAGCTCGTTCTTTGAGCCCGTGTGGCTGCTTGAGCACAGGGGATGGATGAGGCCACCTCTGTGATAGCTGCAGACTGGCCCGAGCTGGGTTAGAAGTGGAGGCGGGGGATGAGGAAGGCCATTCGCAAACCAAACACTCTGCAGAAACCAGGGTGTGCAAGGCTCTGGGCTCTGGTACCGTCAGCAGGCAGGGGGAGCGCAATCGGCAGGGGTCTGCCCACCTGTAATTAAGGGT